ATATCAAGGACAGGATGACCCTAGAGGGTGTTGTTTATTTCATTGTCTATAACCTCCACAATAACTTCTTGAATTGAGAGGTAGTGATCGAGACTGTGTTACTGGAGTTAGTAGAAGACAACAAACAAGATTTTTATTTTATCTGCTCTTACTATGACCACTTTAGGGAATGGGAGCACTCACACATTATTCTGGAAGAGTATGAAGAAGAGAGTGAAGAGGATCAAAATGGTCTGGGAGATCAGAGAGGAGGCTAGGTAGCAGTACCCTAGACAAGAAATACATTGAGCCAGAACTAACCAGTGAGGAAGAGGGGAGAGTAATGAGAGATGAATCTGTGAAATATTAAGAATAGTGTCAAAATAATTGAAGCACAAAAAGAATGAAAGCCTGTAGCATTTCTTTGAGCAGTTAATCTGTATGCATACAGGAAAATCCTTCTGTTCAGAAAACAGGAAGGCTCCTCTTAGGCTAGTTCCAATGAGTTTTTAAGGAAGAAGGAGAAAATTAACCACAGGCTAATCTTGGCATGATTGAATCATGTTCCTCTTCCTGAGATTAGCTGATACCAGATTACTAGGTGATCTCTGTGGCCTGGCCAGTCCCCATTCATTTGCACAAATCCTCAGGTGTAGTAACCCATTGCCATTGAATTGATTTTGACTCATAGTGACCCTGTAGGGCAGAGCAGAACTGCCCCATAGGGTTTCCAAGGCTGTGAGTCTTTAAGGAAGTAGACTGCCTCATCTTTCTTATGAGCAATGGCTGGTGGGTTTGAATTGCCAACCTTTAACCTTTAGCCATAGCACCACCAGAACTCCTTAGGTGTAGTAACCAAATCAAACCCACTGCCACTGAGTCAATTCTGACTCATAGCAGCCCCCATTGGGTTTTCCAGGTGGTAAATCTTTAAGGAAGTAGATTGCCCCATCTTCCTTGCATGGATTGGCTGGTGGATTTGAACTTCCAACTGTCTCATTGCAGTCAAATGCTGTAGTATGGAGGTTTTAAAATAATAAAGTTACCTTAACTACTCAGGAAAGTCTAAAATTTTAGAGTTATCATCTCAGGAAAACAAGGGGCCAAGACCAGGTGGATTACTTTGGGGAAAGGTAAATTCTTTGCACAAAATAAACTTTAAGTGGTTAACAGATGTCTTGTCACAAAGGAGGCTTGCGTACATCATATCTTCGTCATGTCTCCTTTGTTCTTATTTATCTGTTCTTGAGTGCTTTCCACCTTGGCCAGTGACCTTTGTGAAATTTCCTACACACCCAGTGGAATCTGCAATTTCTCAGTTCCTCAGTTTCTCTCTTTAACAATAGCTACCTTTAAGTGAGCTAAATGCTTTATATGTATTATTGTCATGTACAGGCATACTTTGTTCCATTGTACTTCACAGATACTGCATCTTTTTTTTTTTTAACCATTTCTTTTTAAAATTGTGATTTGGGTGAAAGTTTACAGAGCAAATTCATTTTCCATATATGACTATATACATATTTTGTTTCATGACATTGTGAGTATTTTACATATTGAGGATTGTGGCAACCCTGCTTAGAACAAGTGTATTGGAACCATTTTTTTCCAATAGCATGTGCTCACTTTGTGTCTCTGTGTCACATTTAGGCAATTCTCACAATATTTCCAACTTTTTCATAATGCTTTTGCACACTTAATAGACTACAGTAGAGTGTAAACATAACTTTTTATATGTATGGGGAAACCAAAAAATTTGAGTGACTTGCTTTATTGAGATACTCGCTTTATTGTGGTGGTCTGGAATCAAACCCACAGTATCTCCAAGGTATGCCTTTATTAATCCTCACAACAATGCTACAGTATTCCCCCCCACACACACACATTTTACATATGAAGAAATTGAAGCTAGATGAGAGTAAATAACTTGCACAAAGTTGTGCAGTAAAATGACGGAGTTGGGATTCAAACCTTGGCAGTCTGACTCCACAGCCTGTACTTTACATATAGTGTCACCTCAGTCCTGCTCTATATTAGGACTTGATAGGGACTTGATTACTATTAGATGTGAGTTGTAAGGATAAGAAAGTTAAAGGTGACTTCCTTTGTGTCTCAATGGAAAGGATGCATTGTTTTTGGATGGACGGATAGTATTGTTATTCTTTGAAAGAGGTATTAAAAATAATGTTCATAGGAGGTAAAATCATGACTCTCATACAAATTTAAAATGAACACATGTTAAAGATTTTATTTAACTTGTTATTAAAGAGGGATATGGTAACATGTTACAACCAGGTCAAAGGAGATTAAAAGACAGACATACATTTATAGATCAGAAATATTGAAATGAATGTGCAAATGGAGACATAACTAGCTTTTCCCATAGTGGGGAAGAGAAGCCAATTAAACTTTTATGGATGTAATTTACATATCTATAGACAAGAGTAATTTTGCATTGCTCTTATAATTTATAGAGTTGTACTGCACCTGCTTCACCTTAAAAAAAAAAAAAGGAAAGAAAAACTTTTTTTTTACAGAGTTATAAGACAGTATCCATAGAATCAACATCTGATAATCACAGAGGGTGTTCTCTATACAATGCATAGTTATTTATTGGGATACAATTTTTTTCTCTACACAGGGAAGGAGGATGATATTAGGAGGTGGTGATGGGAGCTGTTCGGGAAGATAAGGAGGTCAGTTTTGGACACGCTGTATTTGAGAAGCCCATGATATATTCTAGTGAAAATGTCCATTGAGAAGCTAGGTAAATAGGTCTATAATTCACAAGAAAGCAAGCAAGCTGATGTGCATCCTGTTTTGGTAATGGTAGTAATTACAGTTATCATTTATTGAATAGTTACCATGTGCAGGACTTCTGTGGATCATGTCATTTAATATTTATAACACCCTTATGAGGTAGGATGCATTATAACCACCATGTTATAGAAGGGAACTGTGGTTTAGGGAAAGTAAGTAATCAGCTCAAGGTCACATAGCTAGTTGAGTTGCAGAGCCAGTGTTCCTAAGCATGAGCTCCACTGCTTGGGGCTGCTCTACAGTGGAGTGTGTTGAAAGATATCTTAACATAGACAGATGCTGTCATTAGTGGCTATCAAGTTGGTCCCTGACTGTGCTATAAGGTACACTAGCTAGGAACCCAAACCAGGTTCCCTACATAAAAGGCCAGAATTCCAACAGAGAACCATAGATGTCCTCATATAACGTTGTTGTTGTTGTTATGTGCTGTTGAGTCGACCCGACTCATAGCGACCCCTCCTTGGGGTAAATGTAAAATTTGCAATACTATAATTATTTCTATAGTTATTGTGTTACCTTTTTACATAACACGTTTCATACTTTTGAAATAAGTGAATGAAAACTAGCTATATAGCATGACATTCAGTCACTGAAGTCACAGATTTTAGTTTGGCAGAAATTCAGAGGCAGATAGGGGAGTGGAAAAGCTTTCTAGTGAGATAAAGGAGGGCTTCAAGTATGCTGTGATTGGAGGTTGTTGGCATAGGGAAGCTGGAGGTGGGCTCACTAGATGTGGGCATCATATCTGATTGGTTTGGGGAGCTCATCTGACTTTCTCTGGTTGGTCCTGAGTTGGAAATGAGATAAAATTAGAAAGGCTGTCAGTCATTGACCAAGCCCTGACTGTTCTGGGCCAATTGCTACAGAGGTTGTGGTTTGGCTTCTTGGGTTGGCTACTACAGAAGTTATGGGTCAGAGTTCTATTGCACAGATGGTCTGGCTATTGTCCTTTCGTATATTCAGTTTCTCATTAAGGTAGATGAAATCATGTTTGGGAACCAGCCTGTGTCCCTGTGGTTTGCCACTATGGCCTGGGACATTTACCTTGCTGTGTCCTGCCTTGGGTACTGAGTCTCTCTCCTCAGTCAGTTTCATGAGGAATGTTAAAATGCCAGTTCTGCTGCAAGGGAGAGAGCTTTTCCAGGAGTCATCCAGATTGTAATCAGTGAGGCAATTTTTCATTATGAGTTACTGCGTTAAAAAATGAAATTGATTAGGGGTAAAGGTAAGAAATGGAAGAATACTGTGAAGGTATGATTGACTAGAAGAGAAGACTGAAGTTGAGAAGTTATCTGCATCTTGTACTATCTACAGAGCTCACTCTTTCTTTGCCTCCATAGTTTTAGAGTCTCTTCCCCTCAAATTCTAAACCGTGTACCTCTCCATAAGGTGAGATTTGCCATCTGAGCCCATCAATGAGGTAAAATGAAGGCAAAATGTTTCCTGATTCAGAAGTAACTGTGAGAAAGAATCAATGGCTGAGTCCAATTTGTCAAAAACTGCTTTTGACATGGTATTTGCATTAACTCCTCTTTTTCTTTCTTTCTTTTTTTTCTCCTTGATGTCTGTCTATTAAAGACTTTTTGGCTGTAACATTTCCTGATTGAATCCCAGTTAAATTTGATTGGATTCGGTTAACTCTTAAGAGGAGGCAGTCCCATTTGCTATTTAAAGCAGCATTATAAGGAGAATTTGAGCAGGAGGTGTTTTCCTTGGGGCCCTAGAGCCCACTCTAAGAGAGAGGGTGGTTGTTTTCTGTGGATAGAGCTGATTTGGATCTTTGTGCTAGCTTAGCACCCTATTTTGCTGTAGATTACATTCTAGAGGAATGAGCAGTCTGAGGTAGGCTTTTTTTTTTTTAAAAAAAAAAAAACACTCCAACTTTGTGTTTTTGTTCCACAACCTCATTTGTCCGCTATCCCTTTACAGACTTCATAAATCAACTCCTCATCCCTTTCTTTCTTTTCTGTTCCTCAACCCTTAAAAAGAGAACAAAAGACCACTTGAAACAAAAAATTTCTAGTTTCTCTCTTTTTTAATCAGCTGAGATCATTAGAGCACCATTTCAGTACAACTCATTTTTTTTTTTTTTCAAAGTATGGCTTTTAGTTGAGGTTTATAAAAATAGCTTGTATGAGAAAGAGGTAGAATAGCTACAACACCTCTCTCTTGTACAATAAACTTGGAACCTTCCAGAAGCTTTGAAATGCAGAGAAAGCTTGGTTATCATCCTCTAGTATTAGGCACAAGTGGAGCTGGGGGTGGCTCAGTCATGCCAGTAGTAGCCAGAGGACCAGCATGGAAAGGGCAGGGGTGCCCTTCACTATCTGGATGTTGTCTATTGCCATGAAGGTGATGATGCTGCAATGGAGGAACTAGAGCACTGTCAACCTATTCTGTGCATCTGAAAAGCCATTTAGGAAATATCTTACTTACTGGAAAATGAGGAAAATAGCCATAAGCAAAGCCAGAAAGCTAAAGAGTTTAAGTAAACTTGTAAAAGCAGATGGGGATTCTTGTAAAACTCGAGTTTTGGTGGCTTTGAATGTTCGGTCCCACTGGGTCATGATAGCATTTCTGGCTCCTTCCCATTTTCCAGGGCCAGTCAAGCGGAACTGATATGGTGAGCATGGGCCAAAGAAGAGGGTCAAAGCCAGGCGTGGATCCGTCAGGAGCATGGAGAACAGGTTGGGTTTTGCATTGATATCAGTCAGGAGTTCATCAATGTATGTGATGTAATCTGATTGTAAAGGCTTGCAGTAGCACAAGCCAAACCTTCATCAAAGGGAGATTGGGGAAGAAAAAAAAGATAAAACAATGATAATCTTAGAACAGGAAAGCAAATGCTGATGCAGAAATTTGGAATGATTTCTGTGTTTTCTCTTTCACTCCTATAGATGTCTAATGGTCTCATTCTATTTCTTAAATACAAGATGAGCCACTGAAAAAGACTATACCTATGGCTTTCAGTGGGTGTCTGAATGCTCATAATGCATCTAATGTTACATTAGTAATCTTGACCAATGATTAGCAATTTTTAGAGGAAAATATAGTTCATGTGATTTTACTATTCTCAGATCTTTCTAAACCTCAACAATATATAGGTTTGTATAATAAAAAAATCCACAAAAGTCAACAGCAGAATTCCCTGTTATGCTGGTATTAAAATTGTTGGCTGGCATACGAGATAAGAAGCTTTTACATTGTGTAGTTCTACTTTTTGGGAATTTTTCAGCAAACTTATTCTGCAAACACCAGAAGGTAAGTATTTGAGGCTTTGAGGGCCATATTATGATCGCTGTCTTTACTCAACTCTGCTCTTGTAGTGTGAAAGCAGCCAAAACCCAAACATAAAAAATGAGTATGGCTGTGTGCTAATAAAACCCTTTTTTTTTTCACTTGACCACTAAAATGTGAATTTCATATAATTTTCATGTGTCACAAAATATTATCCTTCTTTCAATTTTGAAAAATAATTTAAAAATGTAAAATCCCAAAACAGGCAGCTTGTCCAAGTGGGCCACCTGGTAAAGTTTCTAGACCCTTGCTCTAGAATGGAGATCTGAATAAAGACAATAGATTTTTCTTTATTCAGATTAATAAAGACTCATTGAATGAATAAGCAGAAACTGCTAGTGTCAGAGTGGGATTGTTTGCCTGCTAACTATACATGAGATGGAATAAGAAACCTGGTAGATTGGGTACATTAGAATCCCAGTTTCATGTAGTGCTTGATAACTATGGTCTGATGTGATGATGGCTAAGGATGTTAAAACTTCTCAATTTCCCTTTCTCTACTCTCTCTTTAAACAAGCTTTGTAGGTTTTTATCTCTAAGAGGCTTCCTTCCCCCAAATCTAACTCTCATTTCTCTTTGCTATTGTTTTACTTATTTCGATTTTGATTCAAATAGGATGCATGAGTTGTTAACTTACCCACTGGGCTTGTTTTCTTTCCTTGCATTCACTTCCTTTATCATGACACTTGTTGGTGGTAATGTATTTAGACCTATAAGACAGACAAACAAACAAAAATGTAGTTTGCCTTCAGGTCTAGGTTTACTTGGGTAAACATGCTTCATCATTGCTCATCTTTCTGCTTCTAATACCCAGCTACTCATCTGTTCTTCTGGCAAATATTTTAGCAGCCTGAGTGGACTGGTGGTATCTCCTGGTAATAAAGCCACCAGCTGAAAGGACGAGCATCTGACACCTCACTAATTATTTGGTAACAGTACCTCACAACTGGTTTGACTGAATTTTGTCACTCAATTTCTTATTGTAATTGATACAGTTGATTCTGTCAAATAACTCAACAGATAGACACAGCTTATATTTTTTGACCTCTAATTTAACTTCTGGGAGCTCTGGTAACATAGTGCCTAAGGCATTGACTGCTAACCAGAAGGCTCATGGTTCAAACCCACCAGCCACTCCTCGGAAGGAAGGTTGGGCAATCTACTTCCGTAGTGATACTGCCTCAGAATACCAAGGAGAGGTTGCTATGAGTCAGATTCGATTCAACAGCAGTGAGTTTGGTTTGGTTTTAGTAATTTAACCTTTGTGTTGATAATAGCACAAAGTCATTATGATACGGTAAATCAGTGAACAGTAGAATGGATCCTTCTTTTAAAGGGTCTGTTGACCTAGATGGAACCAGGGATGTTTTCAAAATTTCTGGTATCCAAAATCATACGTCAGGAGCTCTGGTAGTATAGTGCCTAAGGTACTTGACTGCTAACTAGAAGGCTGGTGGTTCAAAGCCACCAGCCACTCCTCAGAAGGAAGATGGGGCAATCTACTTTCATAGTGATACTGCCTCAGCAACCCAAGGAGAGGTCGCTATGAGTCAGGTCTAACTCGATGGCACATAACAACAACAACAACAAAATCATATGTCATACTGAAATCATATGGCCAGCTACTTCTCATACCCTTACCTTTCAGAACTCGAACAGCCCAGCGAGCTTGCGTTTCTCCTGTGGGTATCATGGAGCCCAGGGGTTTGATGAGACCAATAACAGCCAGGGTTGACTTTTGCAGATGCGCAGGGAAGATATACTTGTACAGCGATGCCTGGCCATCTTCAACTTTCACTACAGACTCGTCAAGGAAGGGGAAGGCAAAGGTGTATCCAGTGGCGAAAACAATGATATCAATGGGCTCTTCTTTTGGTGTGCTGCTAAATATGACTGAGTTTTCCTTCACCTCCTTTACCTTGGGCTTTATGAGCACTTTCCCAGTGATGATCCGGCCTGGGAGCTCATCATTTAGCACAGGTTCTCTCAGCTGAATCCTGAATAAAAACATTGACTAGGAAATGATCTGTCAGTGAACAACATGGCCAGTCCTCCCTCCTCTTTCCTTTCCTGTCTTCATTCTGGGGCTTTCCTCATTGACTGGATAGGAGCTGCTAGTCTTGGGAGAAGCTACCTTTGTTGAAGGGGATTTGTGATTGTCCAGGAAGCATTATAAAATATGCTAACCATTTACTAGAGTTTGGAAACCTGAAGAGAAGGATGTCAGCACTTCCTTTAACTCCCCTTTACTTTCTGAATTTTAGTATTCAGTTACCACTTTGATTTTAGAGAAAGCTGAATGCTGAAGGTTTTACAAGGGAAGCCAGGGACTTCTGTATCTGCTGAGAACTGCTGAGAATGAAACTCTCAGTCCCTCCCCTTCCTAGAAAGCAATTATACAAGGAAAACACACATGTTCTTAAAAGGAACAAGGGAGCTCTGGTAGCATAGTGCCTAAGGCACTTGACTGCTAACCAGAAGGCTGGCAGTTCAAACCCACCAGCCACTCTATGGAAGGAAGGTTGGGCAATCTACTTCTGTAGTGATACCGCCTTGGAAACCCAAGGAGGGGTTGCTATGAGTCGGGGCTGACTCGATGGCACATAACAACAAAAGGAACAAGGACAGATTTTTTTTTTTTTTCTGGCTATAACTTTGAAATCATAAGACAAACACTTTGAGAGATGATTGTGTATAAGCTGAGCCATTTTTGGCTTATGTTGAATGCACAGAAAGAGAGAGTTTGGTAAAATGAAAAAGGCACTGGTGTAGGAGGTAGGAAGGTGGTTATTTATTTAAAGGTTCATACTTAAGAGGGCATGTTGTTGTTGTTGTTGTTGTTGTTGTTATGTGCCGTCGAGTTGGCCCTGACTCATAGAGACCCCTCCTTGGGTTTCCAAGGCAGTATCACTACGGAAGTAGATTGCCTCATCTTCCTTCCAAGGAGTGGCTAGTGGGTTTGAACCTCCAGCCTTCTGGTTAGCAGTCAAGTGCCTTAGGCACTATGCTACCAGAGCTCCTTAAGAGGGCATAGGCTATCTATTATTGATACATAAAACAAGATACTAACATTTAGCATCCTTACTCATTGATTAAAGAGCTCTGGTGATATAGTGATTAAAGCATTTGGCTGCTAACCAAAAGGTTGGAGGTTTGAACCCACCAGTTGTTCCATGGAAGAAAAATAAGGCAGTCTGCTTCTGTAAAGATTTACAGTCTTGGAAAATCAATAAGGGGTTGCTGTGAGTTGGAACTGACTCAATGGCAGTGAGTTTTGTTTTGTTTTTTTTGAGTAGAATGAAAGCATATGAAACAGATTTTGGAAATGGTGAGGAATTAGCTAAATATAAGGGAGCAGAGGCTTATAATTCCTCCAGCTCCTTCCACATTTCCTATCTAATTAGACAAACTTTATTATAATTCTATGAGTAATCATTCAGGTTAGATAAAACTTATGACAGAGAAAGCTCTGATAGAAAAGGCTAAAACCCCTTGGAGGTTTGGAGATAGAAGTGGAAAAGGGTAGGTAAAAAAGAGGAAGGAGCAAATGGAGATGATAAAGAGAGAAAAGAGGAGAGTAGGGAAAGAAGAAGGTGTACAAGAGAAGTATGAAAAAGACAGAAGTGCATATACTAGGAACGGGCTGGCATGCCAGCAGTGCTGGCCTGAGTACCACCTTAAATTTTGTTAATTCCTGCTCGTCCAGGGTGAAATCCAAAAGGAAGCAAGACAGGAACCCCAGGCTAGTAATTAATGTAATGTCATTGTACAAACTCAACCAATAAAGAAGTAAAATCTTTGGTTCTTGTTAATGGGATAAGTCATAGGTTGTAAGGGAAAGGGCAGACTGAAATCAAGACCATTTTGACAAGGGCAAGAAGGCACATTAAAGAGATGACAAAGGGCAACTATAACAACAAAAATAAAATTGTTGTTGTTAATTTTATTCCAACTAATAGTGACCCTACAGGACAAAATAGAACTAGTGCATAGGGTTTCCAAGGCTGTAATCTTTATGGAAGCAGACTGCCACACCTTTCTCCTACAAAGCAGCTGATGGGTTCAAACCTCTTGCCTTTCAGTTAGCAGTCAAGAGCTTAGTCATTATGCCACCAGGGATCCTTGAAGGACAATGATAAGATTCAATTTTTCTCAAACAATGAGACAAGGAAGTGTGTTGCCTTTCTTAACAAAACCAACCAAAAAAACCAAACTTACTGCCATCGAGTCAGATCCGACCATAGCGACCCCTCCTTGGGTTTCCAAGGCAGTGTCACCATGGAAGTAAATTGCCCAATCTTCCTTCCAAGGAGTGGCTGATGGGTTTGAACCTCTAGCCTTCTGGTTAGCAATCAAATGCTTTAGGCACTATACCACCAGAGCTCCTAAGTTATTGACAAATCCTTCTCTTTTCATTGTGGCAACCAAGGCTTTTGTAACTTGCCCAAAGTCACTACTGAAAGCTTGGCAAATGATAGGACTTCATGAAGCCTCAGTAACCCTACAATAAGACAGAGATTATAATAATAATTAAAGGATTGTTGACAAGGTGAAATGACATATTCACTTATTGAACGTTCAGGAGTGGTTATTATTATCAAATGAATCAGTATGAGGTTTTCCTTTGTATCCAACCATATTGCCTTGTTATTTTCTGGTTTGTGTCGCTGGAAGGGCAGAGGCTCCTTCTTCCCAATAGCCCTTGGCAGTGACACTATAATTACCTGTCTTCTGGAATTAAGCCATAATTTGCATGATTGAACCAGCTGTTCATCTTTCTTTCAAGCAACCAAGACACAATCGAAGTTGGGAGAGAATTTCTGAACATGTTCTGAAATCGTGTCATGAACACCATGTCCCAGGGGTACCCTGAGTCATAGACTCGGCTTATCACCCATGCTCCTCCAGTTGTGCTGAGGAACACCTGGAAGAAATCACAGAGGTCACTCAGTTTGACATGTGAATAGGGCTGACCCTCCTGACGTTGCCTCCTGAAAGGCACCAAAGAGTCTGGCACTCTCAAACTACATCCTTGACAGATAATCATGATTCTTCTAATTCCTATTTTCAATTGTTCTTGTGAGATAATAGTTTGCATACCTAGGGTATTAAAATGCCTTAGGATTTTAGTATGTATTGAGTACATATTATATGCCACTCCTCGGGAGTAAGGTTGGGGCAATCTATTTCTTTAGTGATACTGCCTCAGAGACCCAAGGAGGAGTCTCTATGAGTCGCATCTGACTTGACAGAAGTGAGTTTTTTTTTTTTTAATATGCCAAGGAGTCCCTCAGTGACACAGATGGCTAAGTTTGGCTACTAATTAAAGATTGACAGTTCGAATCCACCCAGAGGCATGTTGGAAAAAAAACGTGGTGATCTACTTCCGAAAAATCACAGCCATTGAAAATTCTTTGGAGCCTACTTCTACTCTGACACACGTGGTGTTGCCATGAATCAGAATCAACTTGACAGTAACTTTGGTTACTGTTCGTTTTTAGTGTTTTATTAATTGCCAGGCTTGATGTTAGGTACCATGGTGAATAGGACACTGTGGTAAGTCATAGGGAGCATAAAATCTCATGTGGAAAGTCAATGAGTAGTTGATTGCAACTTTATAGCCTTGGTGGTGCAATGGTTAAGTGGTCAGCTCCTAACTGAATGGTTGGCTATTTGAACCCACCCATCAGCTCCACAAGAGAAAGACTTGGCGATCTGCTCCTATAAAGATTATAACCTAGAAAACCTTATAAGTCAGTTCTACTCAGTCACATGGGATCTCTATGAGTTGAAATTGACTCAATGGAACCTATCAATAACAACAACAACATACTATCTGTAATTGTAAGCGATAAGAACAGGCCATGATAGCAACTGGAAGCTGTCCATAGAGTTTCAACACAAACCATTGATTGAACTGACAGTAAGATTCACTAATACAATTAGTTCTGGTGATTTATTTATTTATTTTCCTTCAGGTTTTCTGATTATTTGAGTTAACCTAATATCATAGCTGTTGTCAGATGGATCTTGGCTCAAGGCAAAGAATACCAGAAAGATGTTTACTTGTGTTTTATTGACTATGCAAAGGCATTTGATTGTGTGGATCATGACAAATTATGGATAACATTGAGAAGAATGGGAATCCCTGAGCACTTGATTGTACTCATGAGGAATCTGTACCTTGACCAGGAGGCTGTCGTTCGAACAGAACAAGGGGACACTACATGGTTTAAAATCAAGAAGGGAGTGCGTCAGGGTTGTATTCTTTCTCCACACTTATTCAATCTATATGCTGAGCAAATAATCCAAGAAGCTGGACTATATGAAGAAAAACTTGGTATCAGGATTGGAGGAAGAATCATTAACAACCTGAGATACGCAGACAATACAACTTTGCTTGCTGAAAGTGAGGATGACTTAAGGCACCTACTGATGAAGGTTGAAGAATACAGTCTGCAGTATGGATTACATCTCAACATAAAGAAAACAAAAATCCTCACAACTGGACCAATGAGCAGCATCACAATCAATGGAGAGAAGATTGAGGTTGTCAAGGAATTCACGTTGCTTGGTTCTACAATCGATGCCAACGGAAGCAGCAGTCAGGACATTGGACGACATGTAGCATTGGGGAAGTCAACTGTGAAGGAACTGTTTCAAGTGCTGAGGAGCAAGGATATCTCCTTGAGGACTAAGGTGCGCCTGACACAAGCCATGATATTTCCAATCGCCTGGTATGCATGTGAGAGCTGGACAATGAATAGGGAAGACCGAAGAAGAGTTGATGCTTTTGAGTTGTGGTGCTGGCGAAGAATGCTGAAAGTACCGTGGACTGCTAAAAGAACTAACAGATCTGTCCTGGAGGAAGTGCAGCCAGAACGCTCCTTGGAAGCAAGAATGGCCAGGCTTTGTCTCACCTATTTTGGTCACGTTGTAAGAAGGGACCATTCCCTGGAGAAGGATGTCATGCTTGGTAGGGTGGAGGGTCGACAAAAGAGGGGGAGGCCTTCAGGGAGATGGATTGATAAAGGGCTGCGATGATGGGCTCAAGTATAGCATGGATTGTGGGGCTGGCGCGGGATCGGGCAGTGTTTCGTTCTGCTGTGCATGGGGTCGCTATGAGTCGGAAACGACTCAATGGCACTTAACAACAACAACAACAATGAATGAGTCCATTAAACTTGCTGTCAAGTCAATTCTGACTCATAGTGACCCTATAGGACAGAGGGGAACTGCCCACAGCATTTGCAAGACTGTAAATCTTTACAGCTGCAGTCTGTCACATCTTTCTTCTGCAGAGCAGGTGGTGGGTTTGAACCACTGACCTTTGGGTTAACAGTTGAGTGTTTTAACCACTGTGCCACTGGAATGTAAATTATAATTATTACATAAATTCTGAATAGGAAGAGGTCAGTTTGCATTGGGATGAGAGACTGAGAGAAGGGAAAAGGGCACCTCAGGAAGGAGGGAAGGGATGATGTGAATGTAGGTGAAAACAAAGACCAAGAACGGGAAAGGACAGCTGGATTCTGGGAGCTTCAGGGTAGACCTGTTTGACTAGAGCTGATGATCATCCAGGATAATTGTGGAGGATAAAGTTAAAATGGCAGACTTGAGCTAATTTGTGGAGAATCCTGCAATGGAGGGTTAATACATGTACAATTGATTGTTTTAGGTAAGACATAATTACTCATTTTTTCAACATGAGAATGTTATAACAAGAACAGACTTTTCAGAGGATTTGTTTGTTGGTTGGGGTTTGGTTGGATGGCTGTGTATGGGAGGATGGACTGTAGATAAGAGTGTAGGAATACAAGGCACAGTTAAAAGTAGGGACATGGGTTTGGAATCAGTTTGAATAAAAGGGTTTGAGGACTAGCTCTACCCCTTACTAGTGGTATGACTTGAGGCAGGTTTCTCAGTTTCCTCATCTGTAATCAGGGATACTAATAGTACCTAAGGAGCTGTGTTGGCACAATGGTTTAGTGCTCCACTACTGACTGAAAAATCGGTTGTTTGAGCTCAGCAGCCGCTCTGCAGGAGAAAAGACCTGCTGATCTGTCCCTGTAAAGATTTATAGTCTTGGAAACCAGTGGGGTAGTTCTACCCTGACTATAGGGTTGCTATGAGTCAGAACCAACTAGAGGGCACCTAACAATAGTAGCTACTTCAGTCTCTTGTTCTAATGAGTGATTGAGGTAATGCACTAAAGCTCTTAGCACAGTGCTTGGCACAGTAAGCCCCAATAAATATTAACTACTTCCACAATTATTGCTGGGAGGACAATATAATAGCCTCAGGGGGAGATGATACAAACCTCTTGAAGGTTGTGGCAACTAACAAGGAAAAGAACAGACAAATGGGAGAATTTTGCAAGGAAAAATTGCCAGGATTTTCTTATCTAAGGGACTGAGTAAGGATACTCTCTCTCCCTCATGGGTTTTGTTGGATGATTGGGAAAGTGACAAACATAGAAAGGTAGAGAAATTGGTTTTGGAGAAAATCTAACACCTGGAATTTACAGTGAAATTTATGAACGTTCAAGTAAAAAAAAAAAACTTTTTAAAATCTTTTTTTTGTGTGTGTGTATATCTGGGCATTCTTATTCCTTTTTTCACTTAGTATAGTGTTTTAAATGTTGTTTGTCTGAGGCATGCATCTTAAGATAAAGCTTTTCATTAAGTAACATCAAGAACTTACCTTTTTTGCCAGGTGACTGGCCTCTACAGCAATGTCTGTGCCAGAGTTGCCCATTCCAATCACAAGGACATTCTTGTCTTTAAATACATCTGGATGTTTATATTCTCGGCTATGAAAGTATTGGCCTTTAAAGGTATTTATACCTATAGAAAAATTTAAGAAGTAACAGTGAATTTACGGGATCAGCAAATGAAACGTAAGTATTGTTCAGTTGATGATATCCTTTTAAGGGATGATTTAAGTTGTTTTTAGTAGTTTATGTATGTGTAAGAAAATCTGAATACATGATATTACAAGATACAGAAACCAGCAGGTGATTATTTAATGGAAGTAATTATTTGCTTCATGCTACTAAATAGGCCTCCAGTTTTACTTATTAGAACATTAACTACTAAACTGAGATATTGTAGCATAAAGACATACTACACAAAAGTGTAAGGAGTCATTACCATCTAAAGATTGATGGAAATCAATGGGATGGTAATATTCTATTTACTAATACCTGATTTATATAGTTAGTGGGTGGTTTAGATGGTTAAGTACTTGGCTGCTAACTGAAAGGTTAGAGGTTTGAATCCACCCAGAGATGCTTTGGAAGGAAGGCCTGGCAATATACTTCTGAAAAATTAGTCACTGAACACTCTGTGGAGTGCAGTTCTACTCTGACACATGAGTCAGAGTTGTCTTGATGGCAACTGATGTATAGTCTGAAGTCTTTGGGCATTGCAAATGGTTAAGTACTTGGATATTAATCCAAGGTAGCAATTAGAAGGTTGGGGGTTCAAATACATCCAGAAGTGCTTCAGTCTACTTCTGAGAGATAACCAAACCAAACCTCTTGCTGTTGAGTTGATTCTGACTCAAAGTAATCCTATGGGACAGAGTAGAACTGTCCCATAGGATTTCCAAGGTCGTAAATCTTTATGGAAGCAGACTGCTTCATCTTTCTCCTGTGGAACCGTTGGTGGGTGTGAACCACTGACCTTTCACTTAGCAGCCAAGAGCTTAATCACTGCACCACCAGACCTCCCTTCTGAAAGATCACAGCCATTTAAAACCCTATGGAGTGTCGTTCTACTCTGAAACACACAGGGTTGCCATGAGTTGGAATCAGCTGGACAGCAACTGGTTGTTTTTTGTTGTTGGTTTTGTTTTTCACAAACAAGAAGCAATAGGAAGAAAGTAAAGAGAACTATGAGTCAGTGCTTCTACTCTAGTCAGCAAACAGTTTTAGACACTAATCTCTGGCACTGCGCTAAATGATGCAGAGGAAATAGGATAAATAAAATACTGTCTCTATTCTCAAAGATCCATGAGGGTTGGGGCAGTTCAATGATAGTTCACCTTGATGACTGAGTATAACTCAGGCTATGTTTGCCAAGTCATCCAGAATTGGCTGTGAGAGAAAAAGGGATTATGCAGGTTGTACCAGGATTGAACCCACTGGTCTTACTAGATAGGATATCTTAGGTAATTGATACTGGGTCTCATCAAAACATCAAATAGAAATGGAGAGATTTTTGAAAAATACTCTCAAAGATGTTCTCCATGATCAGAAATATGTGCTGGACAAAGAATCTGTTTTCTCCAGAAACAGTGATAAGATATCTAGATTGTCAGAGGATGAATGTGGATGTTATGGGAGGTGGTCTTCCGAAGGCCCAGTGACACCTTAGTGCACTTTGAATCATTAGAAATGTAACATGAATTCCAGTTAAAACCCAACCACAGTCCAGAGCATTTAGAATTTAGCAAGGATGAATACTGGCAGAGTTCCGGCAAGATGGCGGACTAGGCAGAAGGATTGCACAGACCCTCTTCAACAAAGAAAAGGGAAACCAATTAACACAGACACATAAGATAATCGTGGACCCCTGAGCCTTGAAGGGAAGGATACAGAA